AGATGATAGATAGATAGATAGATAGATAGATAGATAGATAGTGTGTGTGTGTGTGTGTGTGTGTGTGTGTGTGTGTGAAAGAGAGAGAGAGCGAGAGAGAGAGATTATGGTCATAAACCAGCATTTAAAAATACAATAATAAATTAGACAATGCAATTAATGTATCATGGGGGGAAGCAATATGATCCCATGAGCAGCATCCACTAACATTATTGTTACTATGTTATTGGGCAGTTGAAGTTTGATGTAAACATAATTAATGGAGTTATATTGATCTTCTCAAGAGCAGAACAACTGGAATATTAATCTCTTAATACTGGTGGACCTGAGCAGAAATTCTATTAGATAGGAAACATGACAGACCAACTTCCATAATCAGCATTTTGATCCAACTGACAATATGTGTAAATGTCAAGTATATTAAGCAACATTTACTTTTGTCCAACTATTAGTCCTACATCATATTCAATGATTCAGATTTTCACAAGTCTACTATCTAGAGAAACTGAAAATTATCATGGTAGGCATGCACCTCAGTTACATTGCAAGCATAAAGTTTTGCTTGTAATTTTGTGTTACAGTGAAAGTGAACTCAGCAAACTCAGCAAACCTACAGTGAAAATCCCTTGACAAAAATGGGGCTCCATTTTCCTAACTCTAAGCTGATCCTAATCTAAGAATCAAATCACAATCCCCTCCATGAAATGACACAAGTCTACTTTTGAAACACAAGATGTTACCATGAAGTGGCTTCAGCAATACTCCTGCAACTCTATTTCAATTCTCATTACCTATGAAGATAACAGTGGGGGGAAATTCTAGTTGGATAACATAACTCAAAATTATATATACACTTACATTTTGAAATCTATTTAATTCTTGTTATATTCTAGAACTCAACTGACCTGCTATAGATTCCATCAATGAGGGATATGCAGAAGGAAAATAAGACTCTGAGAATTACTGAATGGAAGAAATGTTCAACACAGAGACAGGAAACCAGACAATGATCTCAGAATTTATCCTTACAGGTTTTGCAACTCTCCCTGAGTTGCAGACTCTTCTTTCTCTATTCTTCCTCGTGATATATTTTGCAACAGTCGCTGGGAACCTCCTCATTATATTGCTAGTTATAGCTGACCACAATCTTCACACACCCATGTACTTTTTCCTGGGGAATCTGTCCTGCCTGGAGACCTGCTATAGTTCAATCATCTTACCAAAAATGTTGGCCAATTTGTTTACTGGTCAACAGTCTATTTCTTTTACTGGATGCATGGTCCAATTTTATTTGTTTGGTTCTTGTGTTTGCATAGAGACTTACCTCCTGGCAGCCATGTCCTATGACCGATATCTGGCAATCTGTAGACCTTTACACTACGCTTCCATCATGCATGGGAAAATTGGTGTCCAGATCATGATTGTAGTATGGATTGGATCTTTCCTAGCTAATTGCCTAACAATATCACTGTTGTCTCAGTTATCATTCTGTGGCCCTAATGTTATAAATCATTATTTTTGTGACTTGATTCCACTTGAAAAACTTTCATGTAGTGACACAACATTAGTTCAACTTGTTACCTTCCTCTTGACTGTCATTTTCACTGTCACTCCATTTCTACTTACACTAATATCCTATATTTGCATTATAGTCACAATTCTAAAAATATCTTCTGCTGTGGGAAGGCAAAAGGCCTTTTCAACCTGTTCTTCTCACCTCATCGTGGTTTGTCTTTTTTATGGTACACTAATAATTGTCTACATTTTGCCAGATACACCTAGTTTGAGAGATCTGAATAAAGTTTTTTCCATTTTCTACACTGTCTTGACTCCTCTGATCAACCCTTTGATCTACAGTTTAAGAAACCAAGAAGTCCACAAAGCCCTAAGGAGAGTTAGATGTAAAATGGTACATTTTGCAAGAATGCAAGCCAATATATGATCATAGGTTTCTGAAATCATTTCTTTCTTCTTATACCATCATGCTGAACAGTGGAAAATTTTCTTGATCAACTGAAAACCAAACATTCCATTGTGCAATGTTTTGTTTCAATGTCCCATTTTATATTTTATTTTGGCCCTCTTTTATAATTTGGGGCTAAACTATCATATCAAAAATAATGGCTTCTCTAAGATCTCATCTGAAATATGTTCTTCTAAGGACAACTTGCTTATTTTTCTCCATATTGGTTTTGAGAAAAGTTTTGTAAAAATATTTGTATATCTTTGTTTCTCTTGTGGACATCATTAATATAATTACCTGATATTTCATAGTTGCATATTTAAAATTTTGACTGTTAAATTACTTGTGAAATCCATGTTGTGGGTTGGAAGACTGAGCTGTGGATACTGCAGTCAATCAATTATTAAAATAAATGGTTCAGGTTGTATTGTTTTCATTGTTGTTTCCTGCAGCCTTTGTGATTAATGACAGATATAATGGAACCTGTAGGATGCCTCCCAGAATAGTGATACTGACATACTATATCTACTAACCTATCAATCCACATGGGGAGAGTGGTTTGGTTTAATTTGGTTTTTTTCTCTGAATAAACTTACATAAGACCATATCTCCCTTCCCACAGTCACTTCTGAGAAATGAAATATTTCTCTATTAACTAAACAGTAAAGGATAGCTTAAAAAGAAATTCTGAGTATAATTTTGCCATATTCTCATATAATTAGAATAATGTACACAGTTTGACCAAACTGTGATAGTTTAATAAACACTTTAAGAAACTCCTGATTTTTGGTGAAAATCCATATATTTCCATAATCCTATTGTAAGGAATATCCATATATATTTTATTGATCTAGTTAGAAAGAGCCTTTTCAGGTATGAAATCCAATTTAAATGGAATCTTGATTAACCCAAGAGCACAGTATTATTATATCCTGTTTACACATTGAGGCTTTTCAGAAAATCGAAACATGCATATACAAGCACAAATACATATCTGTATTTATCTAAATATATAAAATCATTTTCATTTTAAAGCTTCCTTTTTTTTTTTTTTTTTGGCAGAATATCACTGTATTTTATTAACATTATTATATAAATACCAAACGTAAGCTATTTTACATTATCCTCACAGTTATTAGTATTCAATAGAATCTGTCAAACTAAAAACTTTTATATTTGCCATAGTTAGCATATTACAAATTTGGAGAAAAATTACCAAAAAAAATAATAAATCCTCATCAAGAGATGTCTAATAATTATTCTTTCTCTGAAGAATAATGAAGTAATCTATTTTTTATTAGAATTTTTCAGTGTAATGAAATATACAGAACAAACAAAAACAAAGAGAGAAATAAAGAGATATAAAAAAGGGAAAAATACAATTATGCCTTCCACCCTTCTTCCTATTGAGTAATTATCATCTTAAACTTTTCCCCAACCTCTTTGTCCCTTTTAACCCCAGTGATGAGGTAATCTAGACTGATTTCTCCTCCAGCATTTGGAGTTAAACCAGGAATAGACATTAAAAATATTTTGGTGGTTCTCTGAGGGATTGAATCTGCGGCCCTGCATACTACAGGGATCTTTGTAGTGGTTACACAAAAGATCCTGACAGGATGTCTTGAACGCCTCAGCCCCTGTCTTTGCACTTCTTTTTTCAGTCATTGAGAATCTCAACTACTTTTGCTAGAATCTGACAGGGAAAGTTTGCTTAAGCTTCTGTGAAACAACTTAATGTAACAAAGAGCTATAACCTTTTTTTAGGCAAGGGGTCCCATGGGAAAGGCTGAGTTAACAGATCCTTGAGGGTTATGAGGCTGATCGCATCATAAATATTTTTCAAAGAGCAAATCAGCAAGTCCCCTGGTTCTTGTGAAATGTTATAATTCTCTGAGACATTCTCAGTGTGCTAAGCACCCATTATTTTAATTTCACAAATTCATACCAGTCCTTGATGGCAATCTTGGAACATCACTGGATAGAACAGAAAATGGTTGCAGGTAAGACCTGATTTTCTTTGTCTGCAAAATAGCCATACAGTACTTCAAAGCCTTATTGAAAATAAGAAAAATGTTTTAAAAATTCAAAATTTTGGTATGAACATAATTCATCAGCATATATCCAGAGAAAACTCCCGAGAAACCCTCTTTTTGAATAAATATAAGTAGATTCTATAATCAGCATTCATCATCATTTCGTCAGTCTACCTTTCCGACATGGGAAGTAGTAATGGGAGATGGATATGGTTGAGACATAATTTCTATGATGCTCTAACTTTCCTTGAGAAAACTGGGGAAAAAATGAAGGTCTTACAATCTTTCTCAGCACAAGCTGTCAGAGAGATTTCAGTCACCATCCTCTGCATGAAAAATACATTGTGAAGAACAGTTTGTTGTTACCACAATTGTACAAAAAAGAGAAACAAGAACAGCCCTTTCTGTACTTGCTTGGGTAAACTGGTTTGGCAAGGAGGGAAGAGAGAAGGTAAAGGAGCATTGATTACGTTATTGATAGATCTGGTCTGAAATTTTGATCCGAATGCCACTGGTTAGCTAACAGCAGTCTTTCTGAGGGCTTCTGAAATACTGAAAGATACATATTCATTTTCACTGCCTCAATCCTCATAATCATCCAGACTTCCTTCCTGTGTGGTTCTGTATAAGACGCTTATTTTGGAAACATATTATCATTGTGTTCAATTGAATTCTCACCAAACTCATTCCCTTTAATAAATAAACTTGTGTGTTTATGTGCGTGTGTATGTATGTCTGTGTGTGCAAACTGTTAACTACTTTTTGCATCCATAAATGTTAGGATAATATTGATGAATCTGTCTTCTTCTCTTCTTTTATCAGTAAACAGAATTCCCACCTCCCTTCCACTTTGGTCCAACAGACAAGTATGTGAGAATGTCCATTGTTGCCACAACAAACATCAATTAATCCCCCTTCATTAGCTCTACATCAAATTCAGTGCTCTTATGTATTCAAATATTCACAAATGTGCTGTCTAGAGAAATCAGGGATGATCATGGAAGGGACACATCTTAGTTATATTGCAGGTAAAAAGGTTTGCTAGTTGTTTTGTGATACAGTAAAAGTGATCTCAGGAAGCCTACAAAGAAAATTCTCTGGGAAGAATGTGGCTCCATTTTCCTCCATCAATGCTCCTGCATCAACCAAATCAGAAAATACTATCCCCTTCACAAAATGGCCCAAATCAACTTCTACAGCACAGCATCTGGCTATGAAGTGGCTCCAGCAGTACTGCTAGTCTGATTACATTGAAGATGGGGGGGGGGGGGTTCTAGTTGGAAAACGAAACTCAAAACTGTATACAGTATGTGCTGAAGTTGTAGAAAAGATTTGATTCTTGTCTTCTTGCAGGACCTATGTGGCATACCATGGATTTGGTTAATGGGGAATATATCAAAAGTAAATAAGCCTCTGACAATTATGGAAGTGAAGAAATGCTCAGTTATCAAGAAAGGAAACCAGACCACAATCTCAGAATTCATCCTTGTGGGATTTGGGACTTTCCCTGAATTGCAGCCTCTGCTTTCTCTGTTTTTCCTGATGATATATCTTGCAACAATAACAGGGAACCTCCTCATTATATTGCTAGTTATAGCTGACCACCATCTTCACACACCCATGTACTTTTTCTTGGGGAATCTGTCCTGCTTGGAGGCCTGTTATAGTTCAATCATCTTACCAAAAATGTTTGCCAATTTGTTTACTGGTCAAAAGTCCATTTCTTTTACTGGATGCATGATCCAATTCTACTTCTTTAGTTGTTGTGCTGGAACAGAGACTTACCTCCTGGCAGTCATGTCCTATGACCGATACCTGGCAATATGCCAACCACTACATTATACTTCCATCATGCACGGGATGTTTGGTGTCCAGATCATGATTGCAGTGTGGATTGGTTCTTTCCTAGCTGGTTGCCTAACAGTGTCTCTTTTGGCTCAGTTGTCATTCTGTGGTCCCAATGTCATAAATCATTACTTTTGTGATTTGATTCCACTTGAAAAACTCTCATGTAGTGACACAAGCCTGATTGAACTTATAACCTTTTTCATTAGTTTCATTTTCATTGTCATCCCGTTTCTGCTAACATTAATATCCTATATTTGCATTATTGTCACAATTCTAAAGATTTCTTCTGCTATGGGAAGGCAGAAGGCCTTTTCAACCTGCTCTTCTCACCTCATGGTGGTTTGCCTTTTTTATGGTACGCTAATAGTTGTCTACTTGTTGCCAGATACACCCACTCTAAGACACCTTAATAAAGTCTTTTCTGTTTTTTATACCATCTTGACTCCTCTGATCAACCCCCTGATCTATAGTTTAAGAAACCAAGAAGTCCGCAAAGCCCTAATGCGAGTTGGATGGAAAGTGATACATGTTGCAAGGATGCAAATTAATATATTATCATAGCTTATTGAATCAATTGTTTCCTCCTTTTATACTGTCTGGTATGCTGAACTATGGCACTTTTCCTTCATCAACAGAAAACTATTGGTCCTGAATGACCTAACATCCCATTGTGCAAGATTTTCTTCAAGTCCCAGTTTTATATTAAAAAACTTTAATAACTGGGGTACAAAATGTCATATCAAAGAGAAATCCTCTGTAATATCTCATCTGAAGTATGCTTTACTTAGTACAACATACTTATTTTCCTCCATACTGCTATTGAGAAAAATATTGTCAATTTTGTTTCTGTTGTAGATATCATTAATATACAATAATTAACTGATATTGTATTGTTTTATGATTAAGATTGATTGCTATACTACAAGAAAAAAATCCATGTTATTGTATGGAAGACTCATCTATAGATATTTCAATCAATCAGTTATTAAAATAAATGACTCAAATCCCATTGCTTTCTTTATTGTCCCCTGCAGCCTTTGTGATTAATGACAGATGAAATGGAGCCATGGAGATACTTCCTAGAATAGTGATGCTGCAATGCTACATCTAGTAACCTTTCGGGCCCACTTTGATTCAGTATTTTCTTTTTCTCAATAAATCATTATCATCAGGGTGGGAGCCATCTGGATTTCTGAGGATGGGAGATATCATTCCAGAAGGCAACAGTAATGAATACTGAAAGAGCTGGCTGAAGAGCTGTCAGGATCTGTCAATTATTTTTCAATAATCTTGAGAACTGGGAAGGAGCCAGAAGACTGTAGAAGAGCAAATGTGATCCACTTCTTCAAGAACGGACAAAAAGAGGATTACTGACCAATGATCCTAATATGAATATTTGGAAATATCTTAGAGCAGATAATAGAGCAGGCCACCTTGAAGACAATGCTGTAATAGCTAAGCATCAGCATGGCTTTGTTAAAAAAACAGGTCATGTGAGACAAATCACATATTCTTCCTTGACAAAAGAACTGCCTTAGTGGACAAGGGGAAAGGTGAGGATATAGTTGCATTTGGTTGCAAAAATGGAGTGAACAATTGCAAGTTATTCATATATGGTGAAAAGCTAGAGCAAGTAGATGAAGGAATGGAGGTTTGGCCTTGGGAATCGGGAAGGAATGAGTGAACTGTTAAGAGGGGATTTTCAGAAAAGATGACTCAGTCCTGAGACAGAGGAAAGTATGAGAAAAATTCAAAACAACTCTGCCTTGATTTTGTTTAGAATAAGTTGGGGCAGAAAGAAATTCCAACAGGCTTTTGAGATTCTGTTATTCTACCCTGCAACATAAAAAAACATTTCTAGAATTCCTGCCATGCTTATTTCTTGATCTTGCCTATGATGAAAGCCTGAAAGTTGGAGGGGGTGAAGGATATCCACAAACTACAATTTGTCTGCCACTTCCATCTGAATTTCCCGCACAAGCACCATCCCCATGAATGGCTGCCAGTATTGATATACATTCATCCCCAGGATGAAGAACAGTCTTTGCTTCATGCCAGGCTGGACCCTCCAATGATGATTGTTATGCAACCAGAGAGGAGGGTCACTTTCCAGTTCCATCTAATTCTTTTCTGCTAGATTTGTCCACTGACCTTGATGAATTGCCTGGTCTGACTTCACCCATGGGAAGATGGATCATTCTAACAGGAAGGGAGGGGAAATAATGTAGATACAGCCTTAGGGGAAGAGAACAACAAACCCTTAAGGGAGGAGAAAAGTCTACTCACTCCTAAGAAAATGAAAAGCATAAGAAAGAAACTCAAAATAACCCTGCCTTGATTTTATTTGGCATAAGATAGGGCAAAGAAAATATGGCAAGCTTTCAAGATTCTGATATTCAATTCTACAGTAACAAAGAGCATTGTGCATTTCCCATTCTAACCCACCTCAAAGGGCTCACATTTGTGTCCCATAGTACAATGTTTCTTAAATATGGAAAAGAGAAAAGTAATTTGTTTATGACATGCAAACACTGGCAGAAACATAATGCATAGTATATGGTCTGTTCTTGGAGGGATGTATGTTTTTTTGAAAAATGAAAGAGGAAGGAATGGCTACATATACAAGAATGCTTCTGCCTACGTCATTATAATGAGGTGAGAGTTAGGAATATCTGGAGAAACGTAGAAGTAAGTTAAATGTAGTGAGAATGAGAAAGTTAAGATGTATTCAAGCAAAATAAAAAGATATAAAATAAACAATGAATGGGTTCTGTAGGAAAGTGGATTCAGTACAAAAGTAAGTGACAGGTCATGTATGAAAGAGGTGTTTAGGTTATACAAAAAGAATGAATAAGAACTGAACTGGAAACAAAGATATAGGGAAGAGTGAGTGAGTCAACAGGAAGAAGACAATGGAGCAGTTGAGATCCTCAAAAAGAGAAAGGTGAGAAGTTTATATAATAGAAGGTGGTATACAAAGCAGTGTATGGACATGATGGAAACATGGATGATTTGCAACAATAGAAAGCTACAGAGATGCATATTGATGGAAACTAGGTTTAGATATGTTTTCTTTCTTTCTTTCTTTCTTTCTTTCTTTCTTTCTTTCTTTCTTTCTTTTCTTTCTTCTTTCTTTCTTTTTCCTATTTCATGTCTTTCACTTACTCTTTCTTACTCATTTTACTGCGCTCTGAATAATATTTTGGCCCCAGAAGCGAACAGTGTGATGAACAGGTATGTATGTATCTACAAAAATCACCCTGACAAAGAGCTGTGCTACATTTTGAGCCAGAAAATGAAGTAGCCCCATGTAGAAAGAGTGAACTTTCGCATGTTTTTGAAGATTCTGAAGCTCATTGTTTCAGAACAGTTTTCCAAGAGCCAAACAGCAACAAATCCCCAGGCCCATGTGAAATATTTTAATTATCCAATAATTTTTTAAAAAATAACATAACATCCTCCTCAGGCCAGCCCAGATACTTAATAAGGAGGGATGTTATTACCCTGGATCACCAACTAGTGTAAAAAGGATGATGTAACAACACCTGGACACAACACTCTGAGAATGGTTTATTACTATACCTCCCTTTCTGCATCCTTTGTTATTAATGGCACGCTCTGGAGCACCTCAGATATAACAGGGAATGACTACAGGTGAGAGCTAATCTCATGTGCTGGTTTTCTTTGTTTCCAAGATAATCATCCTATACTACTAGAAACAATTATTTCAACAATGCAACAACTTTGGGCTGGGCTGGAAATGATATTTGTCTTCATAATGCATATTCATCAGTCTATTTCCATTAAAAAGAATCTCATTTTCATCTTCTCCTTCAGTACCAACATTTGTCTTCATCTTTGGAAAACTATAGAGCAAGTATGCCTAATTGCCATATTTATCATATTTATTTTGTGTGGTTTTTATATATGTGGTGCTCAGTAAGATTGGTGTCATTTCTTTCAAGTACACTGTCAATTATTCAGGAGTCTGGTAGTACCTTTTCCAACTACCACTTTTATTAAAAGGCATAAGCTTTTATGAGCTGTTGCTCACTTCATCAGGTGTATCTGATAAATTTGTTAGTTGGAAAAAATGCTACCAGACTCATGATTTTTTGCCACCATAGACAACATGGGTCTTCTCCTACACTCCTCCTAAACCATAATCCTTACTGTATGTATACTTCTTCAGAAGAAAATTTCATTGAATACAGTAGGATTAATATCTGAGTAATTCTGAGTCATGGGATTCATTGGACAATTAATTTTTAGAAACTTGAAACACCTTTTTTCGGGTACACTTTTTTGCTTAGAACAGCAAACAGCAATTGAAAAAAGAAAGAAAGAAAAATAACAGACAAAATAATTCTAAATTTAATTTCACTGAATAAAAATTCACCATCCACAAAACTTAGTTTTACAGGAACAAAAAAAACAAGAATAAAACAGTAACAAAGAAAGCATTTCACAGGACAAGATGTTTCATAATTAGTACGTGGCCACCAAGAACAGCCCTTCTCTTGCTGGAGCAGAAACTTGTTTTTCTTATGAACAGGCAACACAGAGAACATCCTTTTTAAAAGATCTTAAGGGGTAGGCAGATTGGAACAGTTGGTGATAGTTCCCAAGACATTTAGCACCTTCAAGGTAGCATTGAATTGTGTCCAGAAGCATACTGACTACCAGTGTGGTTGTTTCAAACTAGTAATATGATTTCATGAACAGCTATAAGGCAGGAAATATAGGAGTTAGACGTGATCTTCTCCAGAGTAGGAATTCCTGGAATATTAGTCTACTCCTAGAAATAAATTATGTTTGTGTCCAATTAATCAACCTGATCAACCTCATTCCCTTTTCTAAAGGGACAGACACCCTCCCACACATCCATCCATACATTTCTCACTTGATCCTCTGTTCAGTTAGTTTCATATCCATTTTTTTCTTATTCTTCATTCTCTTTTACTTATTCCTTCCTTTGTTGTTTTTGTCACAGGTACGTTCCTATCTTTTCTTTAAAGACAGGGATTTCAATTGCAGTTTTATGTAGCCATTCCATCTCAATCATTTGTTAACACTATTTTCTGCATAAATTTGAAGATAATATTGATATGTATCTCTTCATCCTATCTTTTTTCTCTAAAAACAGAATCCTCTCCTCCATTCTACTTGGGCCCAAGTGATGTATGAATGTCCATTAGTAGTATAGCAAACAACATCTATTAATCTCTCCTTATTAACCCCTCCTCTTATTCAGTGGTCTTATCTATTCAGATATTCACAAGTGTGCTGTCTGCAGAGATCAGGAATGGTCATTGTATGGACACATGTCAGTTATATTACAACAAAAATGTTTGTTTGAATCTTGGTGATGCAGTGAAAGCAATTTCAGGAAATTTACAGGGAAAATCCTCCAGATTCTGGATTTTCTCACTTAATACTCTGGAGAGGATCAAATCAGACTTACTATCCTCTCCATGGAATGACACTATCCTAATTCTGCAGCATAAGATTTAGCCATGAAGTGACTTCAGCAATTTTTCCACAACTCTATTTGTACCTGATTCCATAGGAAGATATTGGAGGCAAGTGGATTTCTAGTTAGATAATATAACTCAAAACTATCAATACAGTTCAAATTTGCAATCCATTTGATTCTTGTTATGTTGTAGGACTGATGTGGCCTGCCATGGATTTGATTAATGAGGAATACACAGAAAGGAAACAAGATTCTGAGAATTACAGAATGAAAGAAATGTTCAATACACAGAAAGGAAACCAAACGATCATCTCGGAATTCATCCTTATGGGTTTTGCAACTTTCCCTGAGTTACAGCCTCTTCTTTCTCTGTTCTTCCTAATGATATATCTTGCAACAATAACTGGGAACCTCCTCATTATACTGTTAGTGGTATCTGACCACCATCTTCACAAACCCATGTATTTTTTCCTGGGGAATTTGTCCTGCCTGGAAACTTGCTATAGTTCAATTATCTTGCCAAAAATGTTGGCCAACTTATTTGATGGTCGGAAGTCTATTTCTTTTATTGGATGCATGATCCAATTTTATCTGTTTGGTTCTTGTGTTTGTATAGAGACTTACCTCCTGGCAGCCATGTCCTATGACCGATATCTAGCAATCTGTAGACCTTTACACTATGCTTCCATCATGCATGGGAAAATTGGTGTCCAGATCATGATTGGAGTGTGGATTGGTTCTTTCCTAGCTAATTGCCTAACAGTGTCTCTGATGGGTCAGTTATCATTCTGTGGCCCCAATGTCATAAATCATTACTTTTGTGATTTGATTCCACTTGAAAAACTCTCATGTAGTGACACAAGCCTGATTGAACTTGTTACCTTTCCCATGAGTTTCATTTTCACTGTCATCCCATTTCTGCTAACTCTTACATCTTATATTTGCATTATTGCCACAATTCTAAAGATTTCTTCTGCTACGGGAAAGCAGAAGGCCTTTTCAACCTGTTCTTCTCATCTCATGGTGGTTTGTCTTTTTTATGGTACACTAATAGTTGTCTACTTGTTGCCAGATACACCCACTCTAAGATACCTCAATAAAGTATTTTCTGTTTTCTACACTGTCTTGACTCCTCTAATCAACCCTTTGATCTATAGTGTAAGAAATCAAGAAGTCCGCAAAGCCCTAAGGCGAGTTGGATACAAAATAATACATGTTGCAAGGATGTAAGCTAATATATTATCATAGCTCACTGAAATTAATTGTTTCCTCCTTTTATATGCCTGTTGTGCTGAACTGTGGCACATTTTCTTCATCAACAAAAATCTATTTGAGCTAAAACTGTCCAACATTATTGTGCAAGATTCTGTTGCAAGTCGCATTCTTATATTTAAAGTTTTTAATAATTTTCAATCAAAATACCATATGAAGAAGAATGCCTCTTCTAGTATCACACTCTGAAGAACTCTTTCATTAGGATAGCATACTTGGTTTCTTCCATATAAATGTTGTATAATCTACTTGTATTTTTTTTTCTAATACTGTATGGGCATCATTATCCTAATCAATCAATGTTTCATAGTGAGATTTTAAAAGTTTTGATTGTTAATCTACTTGGAGAAAATCCATGTTCAAGGTTAAATAAAGAAGTTGCAATATTTCAACTTATCAATGATAAAAATGAATAAAGGATGTAAATTCCATTTTTTTTTTCTCATCAGTTTTTGATGCAACTTTGGTCATTAATGTTGGATGGTTTGGAGCGGGGGGGGGCGTGAATTGGGCATAGTTATGCTGCAACCCTGTGTCTTCTTACCTATCAGTTACATTCCTGTTTTGTTTTCATTTTTCCAATTAACCCATATAAAACTGTGATAGCTCACCAAACACAGCATAAAACTCATGTTTTCTGTGACCATTTTACATTTTCTGAGGTCGGTAGAAAGAGTTGTTTTGACTTTTAAAAAACTATGCATTAAAAATGCTTGCCAATTTACGCTACAATAATCAGAGATCTACTAGCAGATTCAAAACTAATTTCTATCTACCTCCACATGACACTAGATTATAATCCAATTATTGGAGAACAGCATTTTATTTAAACAATTAAACAAAGTGATACAAACTAAGGCAGATACTGTATGCTACGTTTCTGTCATTTTGTCATTTTTAAAAGTTCTATATCTAGATCAGCCATATAAATTTAACCTAAGGAGATAAGGCAGACTTTCCACTGATACATGCTTTTCTTATTCTATAGAAAAAGAAAGGAACAAAACATTCTCAATGACAAGACTCTGGAAAAATATACTTCACTAAAGATTATTTAAACTGAATACTGTTTTCTAATTCTTTCCTTGAAAACATTTTACTCAGTCCACCTTATTGCTAGTATTAATTTTAGGGGAAAAAAACAAAACAGGTTGAGATCATTATTAATAAAATCTAAAAAAATTCCAGCAGTTGACATCTAAAACCATAATATAATCCCAAAGGTTAGAGTTTTTTTGCTTCCTCCCCCCCGGCCCCAACTCTCTCCTTGACTGGCCCTAGTATAAAAAGGTAAGATTTTACTAGTAATTACTTCATTTGTTACTAATAAAGGAAAGCAACAACAGATGAACTGTTTAGTTCACATTCCAACCATTTAATACATAATGGTAAAGAAATCATCTTCATGTATATTTTGAAGTACACATAAACCTTGCAGATCATTTGTTGCTAAGGGACTGCATGGCCAAAGAAAACTCCACAATAATTTTGCAGCGTGGGGAAGACAGAGAAAAGATACTTGTATTCCAGGGACAAAGTATGAGTGGAACACATCAGAGATGTTGCCTGGGAACATAATTATTTTTGAGGTAAATATTTATGCATCTATCGTGTCCGATTTTCATCTTATGTGTAGTACTCAGGAAAGAATATTGTATGTTTATTTCATCAGAATTTTCACTATCACTAACTTGGTAAATTATGGGGACTAGTTGATGGGAAATCAGATACAGACTACATAAATCTGATGGATTCTTTTTGGATGGGTAAGATCTATGAAAGTGAGAGAATCTATCTTCTCCTTATTGTAAATCAGTTCCAAGGTTCAGGAAGAAAGTAGTAGGTTTTAGAGAAGTCTTAGAACCTTTATAATGCTTGAGCAAAAATTTGGGTGCACAGAATACTGAACACCTACTTCAGGAGTAGGTGTTCAAACTGAAAATAACACTGTTGGGTCAATTTATCAATATTTGTGGTAATATTTGTTTTAATGCTGCAGGTTTGAGAAATATAACAAATAGTCCAAAGATCAGTGATGCCAAGGAGTCATCTTAAAGTGGATTAAGATTCAAGTTACCAAAACACCCCTTTTCATAAAATACATACTGATGGAACCTAAAAGATGGCTTAGACTATAGTTTTGTATAGACCTATATTATGTGGATATTAACTGTCATATTTAAATGAAACATTTTTGTTCAAAACTGAAGGCATTCATTATAGGTGTATCACTAGTCAGAGGTCCACTGCTTCCTACACAGACCATGTAATTTCACTGTCTTTCCTTTTAAGAAATGTCTGCTAATATGTGTGTCTTTAAAAAATGATTAAGGAACAGATTATGATTGTCTCCTTTCAGAAGATGGGTCAGGCTGGCTGGTGATGGAAACAGAATGCTAGGCTTGATAAACCTTAGCTGTATCAGGCAAGACACCCTCAAGTTTGTATTTTCACCATTGATAAGATGATGCTGATCTAAAAACCATCAACTAAGAACTGTTACACTTGAAGAGTCAGTCTTGATCATGGGCCTCTCATTTCCTAAAATCGGAAAATGCAGGGTAACTTAGAATTATAACATGAACATTCTAGACTTTTCATTAAAAAAAAAATCAGCAGCACCCTGGAATTATTATTTGAAATATAAATCCTTAGAATTTCAAATTAGCAATCTGTACTTGGGCCTAAGAAAATAGAGGACATGACAAAGCTATTAATATGGAAGAGGTAAGTACATTTTAGTTATTTTCATTGCCCTGTGTAGATGTTTATCTGGAAACAAGCAAAGCTAAATCTAGTGGGATGAGGGGGCACATACCTGATCCAACATCAGAGCAGACAATGTATTGTCGAAGGCTTTCACGGCCGGCATACAATGGCTGGGGTGGGGGGGTCCGGTGGTGTGTGCGTGGCGGTGGGGGGTTGTTGTTTGTTTTGGAAATATTTCCA